GGCTGCTGGTGGGTCCAGCGGAGTGAGGCACCGCGCAGATCTGAGCGGGACCTCGCCGTGCCTGGGGGGCTGCGATCTGCGGAACTGTCGCCACTTTCGAGGGCTGCTGGTGGGTCCAGCGGAGTGAGGCACCGCGCAGATCTGAGCAAGACCTCGCCGTACCTGGGGGGCTGCGATCTGCGAAGCTGTCGCCACTTTCGAGGGCTGCTGGTGGGTCCAGCGGAGTGAGGCACCGCGCAGATCTGAGCAAGGCCTCGCCGTGCCTGAGGGGCTGCGATCTGCGAAACTGTCGCCACTTTCGAGGGCTGCTGGTGGGGCCAGCGGAGTGAGGCACCGCGCAGATCTGAGCAAGACCTCGCTGTGCCTCGGGGGGCTGCGATCTGCGAAACTGTCGCCACTTTCGAAGGCTGCTTGGGGGGCCCAGCATAGCGATCTGCGGAACTGTCACCACGTTCGAGGGCTGCTGGTGGGTCCAGCGGAGTGAGGCACCGCGCAGATCTGAGCGGGACCTTGCTATCCCTGAGGGGCTGCGATCTGCGAAACTGTCGCCACTTTCGAGGGCTGCTGGTGGGTCCAGCGGAGTGAGGCACCGCGCAGATCTGAGCAAGACCTCGCCGTGCCTGGGGGGGTGCGATCTGCGAAACTGTCGCCACTTTCGAGGACTGCTGGTGGGTCCTGCGGAGTGAGGCACCGCGCAGATCTGAGCAAGGCCTCGCCGTGCCTGGGGGGCTACAATCTGCGAAACTGTCGCCACTTTCGAGGGCTGCTGGTGGGGCCAGCGGAGTGAGGCACCGCGCAGATCTGAGCAAGACCTCGCCGTGCCTGGGGGGGTGCGATCTGCGAAACTGTGGCCACTTTCGAAGGCTGCTTGGGGGGCCAGCGGAGTGCACTTTCGAGGGCTGCTTGGGGCGCCAGAATAGCGATCTGCGAAACTGTCGCCACTTTCGAGGGCTGCTGGTGGGTCCAGCGGAGTGAGGCACCGCGCAGATCTGAGCAAGACCTCGCCGTGCCTGGGGGCTGCGATCTGCGGAACTGTCGCCACTTTCGAGGGCTGCTGGTGGGTCCAGCGGAATGAGGCACCGCGCAGATCTGAGCGGGACCTTGCTGTCCCTGAGGGGCTGCGATCTGCGAAACCGCCGCCACGTTCGAGGGCTGCTGGTGGGTCCTGCGGAGTGAAGCACCGCGCAGATCTGAGCGGGACCTCGCCGTGCCTGGGGGGCTGCGATCTGCGAAACTGTCCCCACTTTCGAGGGCTGGTGGCGGGTTCAGCGGAGCGAGGCCCCAGGCAGATCTGAGCGAGACATCGCAATCCTTGGGGGGCTGCGCGCCTCACGAATGCCGCTCGCAGAAGTATATGCGCCCATGTCACGTCATCACCTCCGTATAACGTCTCCCAAGCTACTCATGCCCCGCATTGCGCAGGGGTTGGGTACGTCGCCAGGGTAATTTGATTCGGCGTTTCGACATTGAGCAAAGAGGGGGGGAGGGGGTCTGGCTCCGGACCTCTGCTTGATGCGACTGTTTGCATCAGTGCGTCCTGTGGGGAGACTCCACCTGCTCGAAGCAGGCAACCCCAAGATCTACTCCAGGGGAGGGGGGAGAGAGGGGTGCGAGGGCCCGCGACGATCGGCAAAACAAAAAATGAGAAAACGATCGCAAAGTCGACCTACTAAGCAACCTCTACCAGAAGACGAAACCAGGATTCAGGATGCATCCGGCGGATAGGTTACACGGAGAGCTTCTGAGAGCCGACGGATCTGGAGGCAGTATCTGGCGCCGCGGCGGTCCCTCAGAGCGTTCCAGCCAGACAGGGCGACAAAATCTGTACAGATCCACTGCACCTGGTCAGGCTTACTTTTGGCCCAGGAGCTGTGTGTACGCCCCCCTGGCTTCGCCAGGGAAGGCGTATTCACAGCTCTGGGGTTCAGGATGGGCTTGGCCAGGAAAAGTGGGCATGTATAGATCTGGTCGCCCTACCAGAGCGCTCTAAGAGCGTTCCGGGCCGCTCTTGAGCGATGTTCCGTAGTTCTCTGGGCCTGTTTGCTCCCCACATGGTTGATGGGGTTCATGTTTTCTTCCCGCCCGCGTCGCATCCACGTTCACACACCCGCTTACCCTCCTCACCCTACCTCGGTTGCATAATTCCCCACATGTTTCGTGGGGTCAACCGCGTCTCAACCGCATTCATCCTCCTCATCCTCTGCCCTCTCCGTCTCGCTCGCGCAGCTCGCAGAGCACGGCAGGCGCGGCACTTCCTCGACACCAGAAGGGGTGCGCAGGGGGGGATTCAGTGCGGTCTCTATGCGTGCCAGGGTCTGAGAGCGTGGCAGGCTTGGCATTTCCTCGACACCAGATAGGGTGCGCACGGGGTGGGGGCGCTATGCGCTGCAGACTCGCAGGGCGTGGCAGGCGTGACACTGTCTTGACACCATAGAGGGTGCGCTGGGGGTGGTCTCTCACCGTGGCAGCTATGCGCGACGGTCGTCAAGGGCATAGCAGGCGTGGCACTTGTTCGACAGCATAGGGGGATGGTGCGCACGGGGTGGTCTCCCACCGCGGCCGCTATGCAAGCTGGTCGCCGAGGGCATAGCAGGCGTGGCACTTTTTCGACAGCATAGGGGGTGGTGCGCAGGGGGTGGTCTCCCTCCGCGGCCGCTATGCAAGCTGGTCGCGCAGGGCATAGCAGGCGTGGCGCATTCTAGACACCACAGGGGGTGCGAAGGGGGTGGTCTCTGAGCGCGGCCGCTATGCACGCTGGCAGCGCAGTGCATGGCAGGCGTGGCATTTTCTCGTCACTGTTGGGGTGCGCAGGGGGTGGTCTCTGAGCGCGGCCGCTACGCGCGCCGGTCGTGCAAGGCACAGCAGGCGTGGCACTTTGTCGACACCAGAGGGGGTGCGGAGGGGTTGGTCTCTGAGCGCGGCCGCTATGCAAACTGGTCGCGCAGGGCATAGCAGGCATGGCACTTTTCCGACACCAGGGGGTGGTCTCTGAGCGAGGCCGTTATGCACGCTGGTCGTGCAGGGCAAAGCAGGCGTGGCACTTTCTAGACACCACAGGGGGTGCGCAGGGGGTGGTCTTTGAGCGCGGCCGCTATGCGCGCCGGTCGTCCAGGGCATAGCAGGCGTGGAACCTTCTCGATACCATCGGGGCTGAGCAGGGGGGGGTCTCTGAGCGCGGCCGCTATGAACGCTGGTCGTGCAGGGCATATCAGGCCTGGCATTTTCACGACACCATAGGGGGTGCGCCAGGAGTGGTCTCTGAGCGCGGCCGCTACGCACGCCGATCGCGCAGGGCATAGCAGGCGTGGGACTTTCTCGACACCACATGGGGCGCGCTGGAATTGCGATATCCAAGGGCCTAGCGCGCGTAGTGTTTTTCCGAGCCACAGGGGCACGCAAGCGGGGGGGCGCTATCATCACCATCCAGAACTGTAACCACCCTGGCTCATGGAGGCTCAGGCTGCTCGATACGTCAACGCGGACGACCACCGGTGAGTCTCCGTCAAAGTATGGTCCCCGTTATGGAGCCCAACTGCGCCATGTTCGCGATGCCACCGCAGTGCGAGCAGCTCAGGAAATCAATGGTAGAGATAGGCGCCAAGGTGGAACTGGATGGCTTGCGCGAATATGTTGTCAGGCATGGGAACGTCTTGGTTCACAGCGCATTTGATGTTGGCCATAGACAGCTGGCAAACTGGTGGCCTGAAACGCTCCTCGCTTGGTACACCGAGTTGCCGCGTAAACGAGGCGCCGACGATGCCAGGAGGCAGTGGTTGGCTAGGTACTTGCTGAACCCTTCGTCTGCATCATTCTCGCAAGCTTCACGTCAGCTACCATCACGCCAGACGTTCTCTAAGCATGTGGGGTTCCTCGGTGGCGTAAGTTTTGTTGGGCACCTTGTGAGCGCGCGCCCTCCAAGCCTGCTCTGGCGAAGTCATGAGTTGAGCCGGGTGTGAATTATCAAGCAACTCTCGTGCCAAATACCGATAATCCACCGAAGTCACGATATGACTTGCCGCAGGCGCCGCCGAGTTCTCGATGGCCGAATGTGGAATGTTGCAACCTGGACAGTTCGAAGCGACCCCCGTCGAAGATATTCCTTCCCAGTTGCGGCAGAGTATACTTTGACCTTATCCATGAGAAACAACAGCGACATAAGCACAGACTTCGAAGCTCCGCGAGGAGGAGAAGGAGGAGAGGGAGGAAGAGGAGGAGGAGGGGGAGGAGGAGGAGGAGGAGGAGGAGGAGGAGGAGGAGGAGGAGGAGGAGGAGGACGAGGAGGAGGAGGAGGAATGAGGAGGAGGAGGAGGAGGAGGAGGAGGAGGCGCCAGGGAGGGGCGCAGCAGGCGCCGCCAGAGGGGGGGGGGCACAGCGCCGATCCGAGAGATCCGCCCAGAACTCCGAGAGCGCATGTGCACGCCATGTGTTATTCCTGCATTCTCCCAGGCCTGCCTATAGCGTACCGTCGACGCGCCGCCAGATCCCTGATGAATCGTCCCCCCCCCGGGTCCGGTTTTTCAAGGCGCCTGGTTTGCAGCTGGGGGGTCCGGTTTATTGGGGCGCTTGCTTTAGATTGGAGCCCAGGGGGGTCTGGTTCCTTCAGGCGCCCCGTCGAAGAGGGGGGTCCAGAATATCAGGTCACTTTTGGAGGGGGGGGGGGGCCACTCCTGAGGGGCTTGGAAGAAGGAACGAATGGGGCGCTCCTGCCCGCGGCGAGCCTCGGCCACGAATAGGTCCCACGACCTGGACAAATCGAGGGAGCGGCCCGACAGAAATCCGAGCCCCTCGAGAGCAAGAGGTGGCCCTCAGTGCGGCGCCGTGGCTGTGTCTTTCCCGCGGCCCGGGAGCGAGGCCCCGCGGGGTGATTTTGAAACATTGCGCAGGGCTGGCGCGCCGAGCGGCCGAGCGGCTGTGCGGCGCAGGGGCGGCGCGCCGCAGACATCCGCCACCGAGCCCCCAGCCCTGGGCGCAGGCGTCAGTCCCGTTGCTGGACGTCCGAGATGGGTGCGGAAAGAACTGGGCACGATGCCCAACAAGAAGCGCTGCCCAAGTTCGACAACGGCCGCTGCTGGGCAGGCGGCCCCGTGTCTCGGGTGAACAGCGGCCGCGGCGACGCCGACAGCGAACTCGGATCGTGATGAGCAGGAGCTGCTGTCGGATCCTGCGCCCGCTGCTGCGCGATGTCCTGAGGCCCCTTCAAGCCCTGGGGGGCCCGGGGCCTATAGATTCGCCATTCCTGCCTATCCCTGCCATGCCCTTTCGCGTGGGCTACTGAGCACCGTTCGTCCGACCCCCATCCCCATGGGCGTAGGCTGGGCCCAACTGGCCGATGTTGCCCCCCCCCCAGATGGGGATACGGGCAGTGCCCTTCGGCTTTCGAGGGGTGTATCCTCAGCTGGTGTGCCGAGATGGTGGGGGTCTGGATATGCATGGGAATGGGGATGGGGGCCGGTTAAACGATACTGAGCTACTGGGCACAGGCCTCGGGAGCGCGATTGGGACCTCGGGCTTCCAGCACAACCTGGGGTGGCCTGCAGGCCCGCCCTGAAGCCCTCTTCGGGCGGATCTTGGGATGTCTTGGATGTCGTGGAGATCAGCCCAAGAGCCCTAGAAAGCCGTGCGTTGGTTGCGCACTATGTCAACATGCTCGGCTTTCTGGTCGCAAGGGCACCCAGAACAGGACAAGGGGGCCTCAAGATGGCCCCAAGAGGCCCACAAGACGGCCCTCCAAAAGTGCCCAACAAGAGGAGACTCAAAATCAAATCTCGAACCCGTTCCCACAAGATGACCCCCGAGGCCGCCAAGAGGTCACCAGAGGCCCCTTAGAAACTCTCACGAGGCCTCACGAGACCCCAAAGAGACTCTAATCGTCACGAGGACCCCAAGAGACCTCCCAAGAGACCTCAGAAGGCCTTTTCAGGGGCCGCTTCTCAGCGTTCCGAACAATGTGGCAGGATTGGCCACCAGAGGCCACCAAATCCGCCGTCCTGGTGGCATGCCAGACGGGCGCTCGCGCGCCAAATGTCAAAGATGGGTCATGGACGCAAGACGCCTCCAAGACGGCCAAGATGCCCCTCCCCAAGACGGTCCGAGACGGTCTCCGAGACAGGCAGGATGGCCTCAAGACGGCCCAAGATTGCTTCAAGACGGCCCCAACAGGACCTTCAAGAGGCTCTCAAGAGGCGCACATCAAAAGTGACCCAAAATGGCCCGAAGACAGCTCCGACATGTCCAAGACAGCCCCCGAGACGGCCCAGGATGGGCTCCAAGACGGCCAAGATGGGCTCCTAGTCAGCCGAAGTGTCCCAGAGTCGACTATACCCTCCAAGATTGCCAAGATGGCCCAAAATGGCCCAGAGTCGGTCCAGGATGGCTTCAAGACGGCCCCAACTGACTCCAACAGGCCTCCAACAGGCCCCGAGCAGGCCCCCGGGAAAACCCAGGGGGGGCCCCAGGAGGCCCCCACGAGGCCTCTTCCTTCTCCATCCCTCTCCCTTGTAGAGAACTCCTCCCTCCTCCTCCTCCTCCTCCTCCTCCTCCTCCTCCTCCTCCTCCTCCTCCTCCTCCTCCTCCATCCCTTTCCCTTGCAGAGAGCTCCTCCCTGTAGCATCCCCAGACGTTGGCAGGGGCGGGCCGGGCGTCTCGCCCGAGACCTCCTCGCCACATCTGGCCCTGAAGCCTGTTGAAAGTTGCAACAGCTTCAAAGATGGAGGGGGTGTCGCTGTCGAAATGGGGCTGCCGCCTGAGCGACGAGTCGCCGCCACAAACTTGCAACGAGCACAAGGACTGAGCACAGGCCATGTTCCAAATGGAGCCATCGCCCGAACACCACCCGCTGACGTCTTCCAAGCTTGGAGAGCTTCAAAGATGGAGGGTGGTTGCTCCTTGAACTCGGGCACTCGCCTTAGCGCCGGTCGCATTCGATGCTTAGAGTTTGCAGCAGCTTCAAGGATGCAGGGTGATTCCGTATCGAAAAGGGGCTCTTGTATGAGCGCCTCGCACATAGATCTTGAACGTTTGGAGCAGCTTGACAAATGGAGGGCGGATATTTTTCGAAGGGGGCTCTCGCATAAGCGCCGCGCACATTTGTTATACAAGCCTGCAACACTTATTCGCATGACAGCGGGGTATCGCTAGAGAATTCCTCAAACTTATAAACCAGACGCTTGAGCAGATGTAACTGCTGCACGGGCGGATGGAGATTCATTTCCTCTGGACTGGGGTTATCGCTCGAGACACCCTCGACCTTCCTGGTCCCAAGTGTGGACTCGTGGAACAGTTGCACAGATGGGGGGGCGGACCTTTTTCCACAAGGGGAATATCGCTGGACACATCGTTGAACTGCACCACCGTACCTCTTCGTACTCCTTACCATCCCCTGGAAGGATGCAAGTAAAGGGGCCCCAGGACACACAAATAAATACACACAAATAAAAAGATTCCCCATATTTCCTAATATTTTCTGGGTTTTTGTCTTCCCCCCCACTTCCCATATATTCGCATATTTTCTGAGGAATCGACGATGCATTGTGTCTGTGTGTTCTTTTCCCTCCTGAGCAAGGCACTGCCTTTCCCGAGCGGGCCTCCCGCCCGGATGCCAGACCCGTGCGGCGCTGGTCTTCCAGGCGGACGCGGCACGCCCTGGCGGTGGGAAGCGGGGCCTGCAGGGGACTTCTGAGAACGGGATGCGGGGCGGGAGGGCGTGCTGCGGCATCCTCGATGCATCCTGCGTTCACTCTGGTCTTCTGCTCCACGTCCTCCCCATGAAACCGCGCCCTCGCGCGCACGGAATGCGAGATTGCCGCGCCCGCATCCCACTCATGTATATCGCAAGGAAGCTCTACGAGCTCCCGGCGGCAGCCAAGGTTGACGGTTGACCGCCGGCTCCCAGTTGGCCCACCCGGCCCGGGCGGACAGTGTGGCAACCTGGGCGTCCGACTCCCGCGGGAAGGGCAGCACGAGGAGCTCACCTTACTCGTATGGCGCTCTCAAGCCCGTGCCTTTCCACTACGCGTGTCAACGTTTCGCCCCTGCTGGGGCTCGTCAGGACTCGAATGAAAATGGCAGCGGCATGCGAACACAGCAGGTGCATGCCCGTGGCTGGACCCGCGGGCGGCCCTCGTCGAGGTGCAGGCAGCGACGGGCCTCCCACGGCGGCCCGCGGCCTCGGAGACCAAGGCGGCGCGCCTGGCCGGGGCGCCCAGGTGGGCTTCCAGGCTGGGATGGCTCGCAGAGCCAGAATTCAGTCGGGCCTGTCCCCCTACAGGGGGACCTTCGACGAAAAACAAAGAATACCCCAGAAACAATCACAAAATAGTCCAAAAATAGTCAGGGGACTGATGTTGGATTATTCTGTTGACCTCTCTGGGGTATTTTTGGGGGTGTTTTTTTTTTTTCTCGTCGAAAACCCCCCTGTAGGGGGACACGCCCGACATGAAGCCAGAAGGATCGAGGGGCACCCAGGCGGTGCCCTCCAATCGAGCTGGGCTCGGCACTCCTGCGCCGCGCACGCGTTCTCACGGCAGCAGCCGCGGCCCAAGCTGCCCAGCCGCACCGCGCCGAGCAGGCGCACTTCGCGGACAGCAGTGGCAGCAGTGCAACATCGCAGTCCGTTTGCCGCAGTTGTGCCACGGCTGTCTTGGAGCAGGTGGCGCCTGCAGTCAACCCGTATCATGAGGATGCGCGGCAAGGATGCGAGGGCCTCGGAGGGCCACGTTACCGCTTTTCGAACGGGGCTGGCCAGCGAAAGTCGCTGAGGATGGGCCGAAGGGGCAAGGAAGCAAGGATGCCCTTGGAAAGGTTGCCCATCCTCACTATGTGGATTGACTGCGTATCAAAGGAACAAGACGCTATAAACATAAACGTTTGGCGCCTCGCGCGGAATTCTTGGATCCGCGCTAGGACCCCCCTCCCCGGCGCGCGGAGCGCGCCAGGGGCGGCACTGGAGGCGCCGCCAGGGGGGTTCCAGCTGACTACCTACCAGACCACCCCAACCTAACCCGAAGACCCAAGTTTCGGGTTAGGGGGGGGGTATGGGTTCAACATGTGTTTTTTCGATATCGTCTGGCCCTCCCCCCCCCTCCACTAAAAATCGAGGGTCAATTTGGGCATTCGGGTGGGGTTGGGGTGGTCTGGTGGGTGGTGACCAGCGCAGAATCGAGACATCCGTGCGGAGAGCGGAAAAGTTTATGTTTCTGTTGAGCAGGGACCGGCCGTCCCGGCATTCCTATAGTCATACCACGAAATGTTCTGAGAACCCAAAAATGTTCTAAGAACATAAACAATGTTCTTAGAACATAAGCCCGCTGTGTTAGAACAAGACAGTCCCAGCCAGAAATGTTCTAAGAACATCTCGTGGGGGCCACAAACAAATCTTAGAACATTGCTTGGTGGGGCTACAGGCGAGCCGGGACGCTTCGCCACTGCTCGATGTCATGGCGCTCTCTTCCTCGATTGGCTGCGCAGCGTCCCAGGCCCCCTCGCCCCGAGGGCTCGCTGGTGGTCCCCAGCGGGTAAAACGACGCGAAGATCGGGACAAACTCGGATCGGGATAACTCGAACTCTCTGAGGATCGGCGGGTTTGGAGGATGTATTGGGCGCCGCGGCCGCTCCAGAGCGTTCCGGAACGCTCTGAGAGCGCTCCGGAACGCTGTGGAGCGACTTATCCCGATACTGGCCCTGTTTTAGCGGGGCCTGCCAAACCCGGCAGCACTGAGCAGCCAGCACGGGTCGAAAAGAACGGCGAGCCGCGCTGCAAGGCGTCGGTGCCCGGGCGGCCCCCGAAGGAGGAGCGGGCGGACGGGTCGGAGGGCAGGGCGCGAGGCACCCGCACGCGGATCCCACGGAGGGCTGTGCAGGAGGCAAGTTGGAGCCGCAAGCAACTCCTCATCCCTTCTTCTCGTCCTCCTCCTCCTCCTGTCCCCTCCTCCTGTCTTCTCCTCCTGCTCCTCCTCCTCCTGTCTTCTCCTAATTCCACATCCTCCTCCTGTCTTCTCCTCATTCCTCCTCGTTCCTCCTCCTTTCCTCCTCCTTTTCCTCCTCTTCCTCCTCCTCCTCCTCCTCCTCCTCCTCCTCCTCCGTCCTCCGTCCTCCGTCCTCCTCCTCCCCCTCCGTCCTCCTCCTCCTCCTCCTCCGTCCTTCTCCTCCTCCTCCGTCTTCCGTCCTCCGTCGTCCTGCCCCCTCCTCCTCCTCCTCCTCCTCCTCCTCCTCCTCCTCCTCCTCCTCCTCCTCTTCATCCTCCTCCTTTTCCTCATCCCTCATATTTTTCGAATTATTATTAATATTGTTATTATCATTATCATTATTATTATTATTGATATTATTAGTATTATTATTATTATTAATATTATTATTGTTGTTATTATTATTAATAATAACAATATTATTATTATTAATATTATTATTAGTAATATTAATAATAGTATTATGACTATTATTATTACTATAATTATTATTATGACTACTACTATTATTATTAATATTATTATTACTAGTATTATTACTATTACTATTATTATTATTATCATTATTAGTATTATTATTGTTATCATTACTCGTAGTATTATTAGTATTATTATTCTTGTTATTACTATTATTGGTATTATTATTATTATTACCACAATTATTATTAGTAGTATTATTATTATCATTATTAGTATTATTATTGGCATTAGTATTATTAGTATTAGTATTATCATTATTGCTATTATTCTTATTCTTATTATTATTCATCCTCATCATCATCATCATCATCATGATCATCATCATCATCATCATCATCATCAACATCGTCATCATCATCATCATCACCAACATCAGCAGCAGCAGTATCAACATCATCATCATCATCAGCAGAAGCATCAGCATCAGCATCAACATCATCATAATCAGCATCGTCATACTTATCATCATCATCCGCATCTTCATCAGCATCATCATCGTCATCTTCATCATCATCATCATCATCGTCAGCATCACCATCATAATCAGCATCATCATCATCAGCATCAGCATCATCATCAACATCATCATAATCATCCTCATCATCCGCATCATCATCATCGCCATCATCATCAGCAGCGTCAGCATCCTCATCATCATCACCATCATCATCATCATCATCATCATCATCATCATCATCTGAATCCCTCCTCCCGTCTCCTCCTTCCTCCTCGTTCATCCTGCTCCCGTCTCCTCATTTCCTCCTCCTGCCGTCTCCTCATCCTCCTCATTAGTCCTACCTCGCTCCTCCAGGGAGTTCCAGGACGATGATACCACCGAACTCAGCCAAGACGCTCCACCAGCTTACGGGCCACGAGGCCCTCAATACGCCCGTACATGTTGAGCACCAGCTGAGTGTGCTCACGGAACAGCAGGCCGTCCTAGACGAGTGTACCCGCCAGTGCAATGGTAAGTTCAAAAACATCGAGGACGCTCTCTGTCCACGGAGTTGGACAAGCATTATGCAATCATCGACGGTCTAGCTAGTGGTGAACAAGATGGGGCGTACCTCAGAGCAGGTGGAGCACTTCGACGGCGTTGAGGCGCAGCTTGACAAGGTCACGGATGCTCTCAAAGAAGATAGCACGACTCGGATGCGCAGCAGGACTCGACGATTGATCCCCAGCGCACGGCCTCGGAGGAATAAGCAATATCACAAGTGCGCGGAGCCGTGGGCGCAGCATGGCAGCGGCCGCGAGCGCGGCGGCTTGGGGCCCCTGGAAGGTGGAGCGGGGGGTACATCTGCAACACATGGAACAGGGAAGAAACCGCGAAGCATCAGATGAAGTAGCCTGTCCTCAACGTGGGTGCCCAGACACCTCCACCGAGGCACCATCAGCAGAACGAAGAACGAGATTTGCGACCGCACCGAGGCCGAGAGTGGACCTGCAGCCCATGACGCGCCCCTTCCAGATGCGAGTGCCCCTCCTGCCTTCCACTGGCCTTTGCGCGGCGGGCTCTCCTGGCCAAGGGATCGGGGACACCACCTGGCGGGCCGAGCTCCATGGAGGGGGGCTCTGGGCGAGGGCATGGGCTCGCGCTGCCCTCTCCATTCGCCCCGAGTGCTCCTCTCTAGACTTCAACCCAGGCCCCTCCGTCGCGCACCGATCCTCCTCTAGAAGAAGAACAACGCAAAAGCAACAACAACAACAACAACAACAACAACAACAACAACAACAACAATCACTTTACCCGAACGCTCAGTGTTCTCACCAGTGCCAGGGTTTTCATGCGACGCCAGCCAATACCCCCACTTTGTGGGGGGGCAGTGCAAGCTCTACCAAATATCCACACGACTCTTCGCCACCACCCACACCCAGCTTCCCGCCCTATGACGTTCGGACACTTCACTTCGTGGCCTGCGGACGACCGTGGCTACTACACTGGCGTGGAGTACACACCCACAGAAGTATGGCGCAACCAATAGGGGGACGTTTTATTCTCGGCGGCCGAGGGCGCAACCGATGGCGCAACCGCAAGGGATTGTGGCCCCTGGCAGGCGCGCGAACCCCGTTGCAAGAGCGTGCGAAAGTAGCTCGCGCGAGCTCATGTAACATAAATGTTGGAAAACCATTGGTTTTTTTAGGATTCGGACAGCGCGCGCGGGTAGAAATTTTGAAAAGTCGTGCAGGTGTTTTTCGAGGACCTACGGTGCGATTCGTGTGATTTTATGATGCGCGGTGCTAAAATTCTTAAGAAGCCCAATGGTTTTTGGAGATTTCGGCGTGCGCGCGCGAAGAAAAAACGAATGTGTCCCGCATGGTATTATTTGACAGGGATGATGGCCCTGGCAGGTGCGCAACCGTTGTCGCAGAAGTTCGAAAAAGTTGCTCGCAAAAGCCCGTTTGACAGAAATGTTTAAAAAGTGTTGGGTTTCCTACGAATCCGCAAGAGCGCGCGGGATGAGATTTTGACAATTTTTTGTTGAAAAACCATTGGTTTTTTGATGTTTTTATGTTAAAATCGCTGCGAACACTAAGGTTTTGGAAGGATTTCGTCTTGCGCGCGCGAATGTCCACTTTACCTTATTTTTTGCAAGGGATTCTTGAAATTTGATTATATTAGAACAAGAAATGTAATTTTCTATTGTTTTTTGCAAGGGAAAGCGGATTACAACAAAACAACCGGATCCTGTACACACCCTCTTTTCTGAGGCTTCCTCACGAAAATGATGAAAATGTAGCTGCGGCCTAGGCGGCGCAGGGGGGGCGCGCACCAGGGGGCCCAACAATAATTATTTTTTAGAATAAATAATGTTCAACAACAACAATTACTAGCACGTGGGGACACTCCGTTCTCACCAGTGCCAGGGTTTTCATACGACGCCCGCCAATACCCCCACTTTGTGGGGGGGCCGGTTCAAGCTCTACCACATTTCCAAACGACTCTTCGCCACCACCCACACCCAGCTTCCCGCCCTATGACGTTCGGACACTTCACTTCGTGGCCTGCGGACGACCGTGGCTACTACACTGGCGCATGGTATGTTTTGCAAGGAATTGTGGCCCCTGGCAGGCGCGCGAACGCCGTTGAAAGAGTTTGCGAAAGTAGCTCGCGCGAGCTCATGTAACATAAATGTTGAACTACCATTGGTTTTTTAGGATTCGGACAGCGCGCGCGGGTAGAAATTTTGAAAATTCGTACAAATGTTTTTTCGAGGACCTACGGTGCGATTCGTATGATTTTATGTTGCGCGGTGCTAAAATTCCTAAGAAACCCAATGGTTTTTGAAGATTTCGGCGTGCGCGCGCAAAGAAAAAACGAATGTGTCCCGCATGGTATTATTTGACAGGGATGATGACCCTGGCAGGTGCGCAACGGTTGTTGGAGAAGTTCGAAGCACGTGAACAAGTTGCTCGGAAAAGCCCATTTGACAGAAATGTTTAAAAAGTGTTGGGTTTCCGACAAATCCGCAAGAGCGCGCGGGATGAAATTTTGACACTTTTTTTGAAAAAAAAACCATTGGTTTTTTGATGTTTTTAT